AAATCAAAACGGTTTGTAAATGAGTGCATTTCTTGAAAAAGTTCAATTTTGGCTCAAGTAGAACATAAGGCTGGCGGAAACTCGAGGACTGCGCCTACCTGATGAGCCTCAAGGAGGGTGGAACCGGTCGTGGGTTGTCGAGTGGCTTTCAGAAACCTTGTGATTAGTGCGTTGCGAATATACATGTATCGTGATATCCCGAATATCGTAGCGACTGAAACATGAGGCGGCCTGGTGCCCACACATTCAGTTGCCTGAGAACATCGCAAACGGGAGATTCAGCTGGGTTCCGGGTGAGTCCATCGCGAAACCAAATTAGTCTGCAAATGAGTGTACTTCGCTAATTCGTGATGTAGATGGAAAGACTTTCAGGTTTGACGTTGATTCCAAGGAATCTTTGCACATACAGTAAGGTTCTCAAACAGGATTATTTGGGCTTTCCCTGGGGGTGACCTCTTCTCGGTCAAGAAAATTCACTATCGGATGGACTGGTCCCCCTCCAGTTTTTATTATTTGAAAATGATGAGCGATACTCAGTAGTTTTAAGCAAGATATTTGAAAATACTCACTAACCCCATCCAGGCAACGTGTTTTGCAACCAAATTGGATGCAACCAAATTGCTCAGCTCAGCGAACAAGCCAACGACCATCTACGCTACCTGAGCTACCAACACTCTCCTCTATAGAAAAGGTTCAATTTAATATCAGCTGCATCCCACTGTGATTATTCAGGTGTTATCCAAATGAAGACTAAACAATTCCCTAATCTCACCTGTATCTGGGCAGGAACTTGTATCTTTCGGTCCAGATTGCAGGTCACATACATGGAAATCCATTGATCGCATATCCAGTGACTTGGCGGTCACATTTCCGGAGTGGATGTCAGTCCAGAGCGTGTGTGACCTCTGTAGTGAACACGTGGAGGGCGGATAACAACAAGTATGGCTGGGTTGCGCTTCTGGTGATAGAACAGATCCAGATGTAGATAGACAACTCAAAGTAAGGCAATCATTCTGTGCACAAGTGGGAATGTGTCGTACCAAGGAACGTGGAGGAGCAGATTTGTGTATATGTCTTCCAGTGGATTGGTTATACTTTTGAATCTGTTCCAGCCATCGAGATTGCGCCTTCCCAGATTCGACTAAGGCGGGATATGATTTGTAAAAATTCATTATCGCATACACCATATCTTTGTCAGAAGGGGGTGAGACATTTGGTTGTGTACAGTGTTCTGTACTGTTGAATAGTTGAGAAGGATTGAATGTGGTGGCAGGACTGGATCCGAATGGAGAGGAGGATGACGTGCGTCTTCTTGGTGTTCGATGACGTCCAGCAGAACCGTCACCGTGCCAGTTGCCCTCACCCGCAGGGGAGTACCCTGGCGCCACATTCAAAGTAGGTCCATCTGAACTGAGTACGCCTATACTGTTGGCATCATTATGTTTTATTTCTTGTGAATCTGGAAGTAAACCCAAAAGTTTTTGTATAGTGAATGTTCCAGCATTTAACCGACCATGGGAACTTGTCGATTCCAGCATTGTTGGTCAGTGTTCACTTGTCGAAATCAAACAGTTAATTTATCTCAGAGTGGTAAATCAGTTTGCAGTGAATCGCCCCTCCCTCCCTACATTTTCAAGCCAGTTTAAACCAAGCATTATTTTCGCCGTCATCAGAACTCTCGAAATGTTAGCTGACAAATGATTGGCTAGTTAGTGAACGGGACGGACATCTGTTAGCTCCCCTCTGGTCGACAAGGAATCGGAGAGTTACGATGCGTGAAGGGGTGTGTGTGCGAGTGCGTGCATCTGATTAGCCGGCATCAAGCCACACTGGAGTGAAATCGAGCCAATCAATGCGCCCCTTGGACGCAGAAACTTCATTGATCACCCTGTGGCCGTGCTAGCTGCAAAATGATTGGTCAGCCTTGTTCACATCAATCCGAGGGATGACAAAGTGGTCCGGATGTAAGATTCCCACGTTTGGTTGTTGTCGTAGTGAACAGGGTTGGTTCAAACATGGTGATTTTTTTTCGGAACGTGAAATTTGTCCCTCAATCGACCAGTTTTCGGCTGTCATATCCTGCAATCTTCCTTAGCTGAGTTATGTTCGGACACTGCCATCAGCAATGGTTACCAACCATTTAGTAGTTCTTTTCTGCCGTGTGGTGATCGAAATTTTGTGCAATGGAGTTTCGCAGTTTGTCTAAAGTCAGCGCGAGCTAGGTAAGATGCTGATAAACTTACGTTACTGTCGCTAGCTTCTGCCAGAAACAGAATAAGATGACAAAGGAGACAACGACCTTCATTTGGAGCCCAATAACTACCGAATCAGCTCAGACGGACTTATCCAACTTTATTGGACAGAGAGGTGCGTAAATTTTACCCCTACACTTTCCCATGGCACTGGTGAATTCAGCTATTTACCAGCCCACGCCCCTTACACCATTTTCCCTTTTTGGCACAGCTTCACAATTGGTGTTCGCACCGTGACTGCTGAATGCTGATTGGTCGAAACTCCAGACAGTAATGAGTTCAAGAAGGGCGGAACCGGCCTTGAGGTGTTTAAGAGAATTCAGCACCTTACGAGTAGTATGTTGCATTTGAACAATGTATGGCGTTATCTAGAGTATCGTACCAACTGGGACGTCCTGGTACAGCACATTCCGTTTAATTTGATCATGACAAACTAAGAATCACGTGGACGCACTAGGACCTCCTGTCGAAACCAAATTCAGATGCAACCGCGAGTAGTTGCCCAAGTTCGTCAAACTTCGGGGACCGCGACTGCCTAATGAGCTCAAAGTGGAACACAGAAACCAATTTGTGGGCTGTCAAAAAGAATAAATAGCGTGTGGCTTCAAAAGAAAGACGGTAAGTGTGCTCATCACGGTCATGAGGTAAACGACCAAACAGAGATATCGACAACCTAGTTTTGAAATGATTAATCATCACTAAAAAATGACTCCAATCGAACATAAACCAATCCGTCAGTTAAAGAACACACTCCTATTTCATGAAAGGCAGAACGAAAGAATCAATAAAACAAAACCACGTGACCTAGTTCGCTAAGCCAGATCAAGGTTTAACTTTCGGACGATCGCGAAGATTAGTCAGGCTGAGAATGGACCACTCAGAAGCCCGGTCTTCGGAAATCGGCCATTCTGATAACATGCGCCCGTAACTTTGATAGAGTGCACTGTGCACGTCCTGAAAGCTTTGTAAAGCGAAGCGTTCTACGGCAAACTTCATCGTTGGAAAGTAGGGAATGATTCATAGTTTAAAACTAAGTGAAGTGATGAGCATCCTGAACAATTCATTCTGAAACTTCCTCCCCCTGTCTTGATGCACCAAATTGGAGAAGCACTGGGCTCGAGTTTCGCTCTTATCCGAGCTCATCAGTAGTACATGTCGGGGTTCGAACTCCGCATATCTGACATTTGAGACGAGCTTAGTCCCAATACTCCATCAGCATACACCGGACGCACATACATTTTCACATCTGAACAGACCAATTTGTCCACTCTTGCGTCACATGACTGGTCTGTCAGCCGGCCGTAGCACCCCTCCGGTGCCTAGCTGCCATGCCACCCGAAGGAGGCACGAGGGCTGGGGTACCGCCAGGTTGCCCAAGCCTAGAGAGGGGAAGTCGAGAGGCGGAGGTCAAATTCGAACCATGGACCTTCCGGTCAGTAAATTCGCGCTCTAACCACTTGGGCCATCTCGTCCAGTCACTTGTGCTTGGGTTTCATCCAGACTGGGTGAAACGAAGCCAAGTTTTCGGAACAATGGAGCCATGTTTTTCACAAAAAACGAAGCCCCCTTGGCCAGAAAGTTGAGTATTAGCTTATGATGTGACGAGAACACGTAGAACTTGGATGGTTGATCATACTTGCGTGATGTCATTCGGGTCAGACTGGCATCCGTTCAAAAGTGCAGGTAGGTGTCGCACTTCAAGTTGTTTCTATTGATCTTCAAGTTGTTTCTATTCATGTTTGCATGTTTCCCCCCCCCCACAACTTGCCCGATAGAAAGCTGGTATCACGATGACAGAGTATTCTGGTTTCAGCTGCGGTCTCCAGTGAACCCAACCGAAATTCTCGTTTATGGGGAAATCCCATCCATTTTGGTTTCAAATAAAACATAAGGTTTACTGGAGGAAAACTCGAGGACTATGTGTGTAACGGTGATACTACTGATGGGGAGGCATGCGAGTATTTTCTGTTGTTCGTGGAATTTCGCTTTGCGTCTTTTGAAAAGGGGAGATCCATTGCGGAATTTGTGGAGTCACTTTGTATCATTTGCTTGGATGCGAAGGAAGAATGATTGGAGTCAATGAATATCCAGTTTTTGTAAATGAGATGCAGATCAGACTTTTGCTTCCCTGTCCAGTGGTCTGTAACCGGTCCGTTGACATTTCCTAATAACTCCGCAGCGAAGGCCTTCTTCCTTTCACGAGTTCCTAAAGCGCCCGAAGTGAAGGTGCGAGAAACAGGTCTTGGGCTATCCAAGAGTTTTCAGCAACCTTTTGAGTAGTGCGTTGAGTCAAAATGTTACCTTTGCTTGCGTACTCGGTTATTGAGAGAACTATTTTGGAAAGAAATTGAAGGAGAACTTTCGAAGTTATACGGTCAACATCCTGATAGAGCCACCTCTGTAGCTGGTTGTACTTCAGAATGGTGGTGCTTCCTGCGTTTTCTGCTGTGCTGACAAGGCACTTTTGTCTAAAACTCTTGTATAGATCGCAGTTTTTGTCTTTGCTTTGGTTTTAGATTGAATATCAACCAGTCTCTCAATGGAGCAGTTCCGATAGGAGCAGCAGCAAACTGGAAAGCGCATCGAGAAATACATTCATTTGCAAACCAATTTGGTTCTCACGAGAGACTCAACTGAATCTCTCGTTTATGATATTCTACAAGTGAATGTGAAAACCAAATCGATTTGCAAATGAGTGTATTTCTCGGAAACATTCCAATTTGTGTTGCGGAAACTCGGGGACTGCGCCTACCTGATGAGCTGGCCCCAAGAAGGGCAAAACCGGTCGTGGGCTGTCGAAGAGTTTTCCGCAACTTTGTGAGTAATCTCCTTTATGAAAATATACTGCGATATCTCGAATATCGTGCCAACTAAAACATGAGGCGGCCTGTGTGCAGCACATTCAGTCGTAGAATAGGGTGCCATAAACGAGAGATTCAGTTGAGTTTCTCGTGAAAACCAAATTGATTCGCAACTGAGTATATCTCTCGAAAACAGTCCGATTTGGGTGCAAGTAGAACATAAGGTTGACGGAAACTCGGAGACTGCGCCTACTTGATGAGCCCCAAGAAGGGAGAAATCGGTCGTGGGTTGTCGAGGTGTTTTCAGCACTCTTGTGAGTAGTTTCCTTTATGGAAGGCGCATCTTTCATCTGACACCAAACCGCTGTTGGACGTCTCGTGGATGATGAGTTATCAGATCATGTTAACAGGTGAGCATACAGAGACAGCAAAAAAGTTGGCCGGCACCAAACGACGAGGTGTTGCTAACATCCAGATTGCTAATAAGCAAGTTATACAGCAATTTCTTCAGATTTGGCTTCTGATAGTGTTTCCCGTTTCACTGCAGGGGGTCGTTTTGCCTTTCTAGTACGTCCACCCCCTTTCGTGTTTGCACACCCTCACCCAAGCAATTAGAGTGGAAAATGTTACGCAATTCTGCAGTGTCCCAAAGCACAACTTTCAGACACCGCGTGTGGTTCGAACGGCTGCCTGGAGCGCGGAAATCAAACAAACCAATTACAACCGACCATCAGTGGTGCACAGGAAAACCTGTGGCCGCACTTTGAAACGTGTGAACCGGAAGCCCAGCATGACTCGACCGCACCGAACGGTGGAACCCCTGCTGAGTATTGTGACGTGACACATTGCAGCTGCTTCGCCTAACCGACCACTGCAGCGAGTATACCTAGCCACTTCAATCCTCCCCTCTGTTGGAACGTTACTGGTTTGTGTCCCTTCGTTAGGCTTGTCAGTATACACTAATCTGACCAGGGCAGACCTCATCTTGTAGCTCGGTCGCCTAATAAGTTCACGGACCATTACATTACAGTACACAGTTCCCAAGTTTCCGTCAGCCTTATGTTCTCCTTGAATCCACATTGTACAACAATCACGAACCAATCTGGTCTTTAACAGGAAACCCAACATAATCCGGGGTGAATCTTTCGTTCAACTGAATCCCCCATTCATGTTTGCCCGATTCAGCTGAATGCGCTGCACCAAACGGCCCCATGTTTCATTTGGTATGGTATTCGAGATATTGAAATGATTTGTGGTTTAGAAGTAACACACTACTCACAAACTGACGGAAAAGCCCACGACCGGCTTCGCCCTTCTACTTCAGGGCTCATCAGGTAGGCAAGATCCCCGAATTCCCGTCAATCTTGGAGTGAGATGGTTCAAGTGATTAGAGCGCGAATTCACTGACTGGAAGGCCTGTGGTTCGAACCCGGCCTCTCGACTTCCGCTGTCTGGGCTTGGGTAACCTGGCAGTAGCTCAGCCCT